GAGGCAAAACGAGGAGGCCTGGAGCTTCAGGGCCCGCCTGGGCCCCGGAGAGAGCGCCCTCCGCGTTCGCTAGTAGCCGTGGCGCGGGATTACGCGAGTAGCTGTAGTTGCCACACGTCGGGGAGCGGTAAGAAATTCATAAAGAATTGGCTTGGATCTCCAAACTGAAAAAGAAATTAACAGTCAGAACCCAACGGAACAGTTGAGCAGGTATTCTTGATTGGCAGCGCTGGGGTCGCCCTGTGGATTCTCCACCATAAGAGCTCCCAGGAACTAAGAAGGGACATCAGTTTATATACACACAAATCATTCATGAGATTTCCTGGAAAGGAATGTCTTATGATGATGAGTTTCTGGAATTCTTTTACACAGTCCGAGCATGCATAGTAAAAACAGGGTGTGGGTCTTTGGTGGTCAAGGGAAGCAGTACGTGGTCTTCTTCACAGTATCTGCTCTTTCCAGAGCACGCACTGTGATGTAAAGTCCAGGTGCATTCTTCCTAAATCAGTGAGATCACCCTCCCTAGATTGAACCTCTGTGTCCTGTTTGATTTCCCCTCAGCTTAGTTTGCCCAAGTGCTCACTGAGAGCTTTGAGTCTGCCCTCAGTGGGTTACACAGGGAGCATTTCCGAGGGTAAACAGCTGAGGAGTCCTTGTGAAACAAACACAAGGAAAACTTTCCTGCATCACAGTTTAGACAATCAGAAATTCATTGGTTTAAGCCCTTTCAAAACCCTAGAAAACAGAATGTCCTGGACCATGAAGGGAATGTCAGGGATTATCCTGAGGATGAGTTATTTGCCAACCTGGCAAAGTGACTATTTGATTACTTCAGTTGGCAATGAAACTAACTTTTGAGTGTCTTGAAAGTGAACTACTTTCATTATAATGCCAAAAAACATACTCACAGGTCAAAAGGACCCCCGCCCAGGTTAAGACCCTTCCCCTGAGCATGTGTAGTAGTAGTGGTGTCTAAAACCCAGGTTTGTCACCTGGTGTGCAGTAGGTCTATAATCACACACTCAGGAGGGACATTACTTATTTTAGGCTTGTGTAAGCCTTAGTGCTTGGTGGTTTCCTTCAAATCAAGCACACCAGTGGGACTTTCTACGCTGTATTTATACACAGAATTTGCAAAGATAGTGATTTTTCAAGTCCATCCTCTCTACGATGATTGGTTAGCAATTTACATACAATTATAATACTGCTGATACAACCCTTCTACTACAATGCGTGCTCAGGGGAAGGGTCTTCACCTGGGCAAGGATCTTCTTAACCTATAGGTGTGGTTTTTAGTATTATAAACAGGTAGTTCAGCTACAGATACCTGGACCTTGAGTCTGCTTTCCAAGTTGGTGATGTACTCTCTTCAAGGTCTGTTGGTTCTGGAATGTCCTTGCTCAAGGCTATGGGCTTATTCTGCTGATTCGGGATGTCTTTGGTTTTAACATGCACAAAAAACATCTTTCTTGACCTAAGCATAATTCTGCTACATTGTTCTAAAAATTTAACTTTCAGTGGTAGAAGTATTATGTAAGAATGTGAGAATGTAATTATGTAAGAAGAATTATGTGTTATAATTGTATGTTAGTCACTAACCAATCAGTGTGTAATAGGTGTGTTTGGAAAAGTACTAACCTCTTGATTTTTGTGTATAAAAGGAGCATGAAAACCTGCTGTTGGTGTGCTTGATTTGTGAGAAAGTCCACCAAGCACCCAGGCCTGAATAAATACAGTATCTCTCCTGAGCACGTTCAGATTGGTTTACTGCATGCCGGGCATGAATCTGCTTTTCAGATAACACTCTGGTGGTGGCTACTGCCGCTCCACACCGTTGGCTGTGGTGATGGAACTGCCACGCCGTGGCGGCTATGGCAGCCATGCTATGGCACGGCCAGGCCTTTAGCATGTGGGCAGGAGAGCCTTCTGCAGGCGGTGGCCGGCACTGCTCCTGCTGCTGGGGGAGAGGGTGCCTGTGCCGCCTCTCGCTGCCGTGACTTGGATGCAGTGGCAGGGATCATCGCCAGTGAGTGTGGGGAGCAGAGGGATAAGAGGCTGCCTGGCTTGTTTTGCAGTCGTTCTCTTCGATTTCAGGTTAGGTAAGGTGGAGGTGAGCTGTGAGTTTACACTCAGTCATTTAGGAGATTTAGACCGTGTCTAGTTTTACCAGCTGTGGTATTAATACGCAGTTCAGGTTAAAGGTGGGTGCCTCCCCCAGCCCCCTTGCAGCAAGGACATGGAGCAGCAGTAAATAGTTTTTATGCACCTACAGCCTTCCTTGTGAGGAGGGAGGAATAGGCTGTGCCATATACAGCTGGTTTTATACCACTGTGAAGTTACGTGTCAGCGCTGGGCTAAAATAATAAAGTTTTCTAAGCCAACCAGAGAAGCCAGTGCAAAGCTTAGGACTTACACAAGTATTGCATGCTTAAAGGAACTAGGTGCTGAAGATTTGGTAAATCGCTTGTAGTCACTGAATCTGCGTAGTGTCCATTGAGTTAGGATTTAGGCCCCTAATCTGCTCATTTGTTGCTTATCTGTATTGTTATGTACTTACATACCTGTAATAAATCTTGCTTTTCCTAAGGATGCTTTTCACAGTCCTCCTAGGAGTAATACCTGAATTCTCCTGAGTGAGGTGAGGTTGAGTTCAGGTAGAAATCTGTTAGGAATACAACAGTCCAAAATGTGACTTTGTAAAACTTCAGTCTGCGTGGAAGAGCCTGGGGGGGGCCAGGCCAGTGGGGTGGCTTACCTCAGGAGATGTGCCTGCACACTACCCCTGGAGTTTGCACCCTGCTTCTGACTGGATTTGATTTTTTTTTTTTTTAACAAATGTTGCCTTGTGGTGTTTGTACTGACTCCTGCTTAATGTTTCTTTTGGATAAGGACTGGGACTTCTCATCTTCTGGTGTCTTTGCTGGGCTGAAGATTGACCCTGATACTCTAGTAAAGAAGCTCGACTTGGACTCCAGAAGCATCATTTCCTCCAGAACAGGTTTGTTATATTTTGAATGAGTGCCGCTTTAGGTTGTCAGCAGACACTGGCAACTGTATTTGCAGTGGCTGTCAGAACAAACCAGGAGCATGGAACCCAGGCACAGCATCCCGTGTTCCTGCAGGGGCTTTTCAAAGCAGTTTCTGTTTGAGGAGGCAAAAAGGCATGTGTGTGCTTAGTGCTCCCCAGGTGGGGAACTAGCTTCAGGCTACCTGTGCAGCTGGAACCCCCACCTGTGGGATGTCCCCGTGGCCTGTGGGATGTCCCCATGCCTTCGGGAGGGATGTCCCATAGCACCAAAGACACCTGGTCCCTAGAGGCTAAGGGGACAGCAGAGCCCAGGCTGTGGCCTGGTCTTTGGGCTTCCTCTGTGGCTGCTTTTGCCTCACCAGCAGCTGCCATTCATACTCCAGTATTTTGTCAACAAGTTGCTTTTTGTGCCTCAACAGTGCTTTACCCATAGCAGCTTGATGCAGCCAGTTCTCTCTTCCTGTCCTTTGCTGTTGCGAGGTCCCTGGCTCAAGGGATCCTGGGCCGGAGAGTCCAGCTCACCAGGGAGTAAGGGGAGTGAGAATGGGAACATAGAGGAGACGATTGAGGTGTTTGTTTCTAGTCCCACGACAAGGAAGTCCTCCCTTTAGTTGCTTCATGGCAGAGCAAGCTTTGTATCTGAAACTGGGTTTTACCTCTCTGAATGGAAGTGGATGGCACAGCAATCTGTCCTGGTGCAGAAGATGCATGTGACTCCCGAATACCTTGTTTGCAAGCTAAGTGAAATTTCTTCTCACCATGCAGATTAATACTACTACAGTGACTCTGTTTTCATGTCTAGGGCTACAAACAAACCCAGTAACCACCCAAGGGCTAGTGGCTACCCAAGCAGTGGTAAGCAGTAGCACCCATAGCCCATTGGTCGTATTTGGTCACAGTGAGGGAATGAGAAGTTTGTGTGAAGACATGTTTGCTGGAGATGCTTGCCCTCTGCACAGAAACCTTTGTGAAATGTACTCTTTTCAAAACACTGAGCTCTTTGTTCCTAAGTCTCTTGGGAAAAGGACATGTGTGCATATGTGTGTGCATGTGAACATAGCCATCTCTTTAATTAAATTAGACAGTGTGTTGTTGCAGGCTGACAGCCTGCAATCCTACTCTTTCATTCCAGGCTACAGCTGTACATGTCTGGTTTATAAATAGACCTGTGCTGCTGGTCCCTGTGCAGTGCTGATGATGCAGATGTGCAGTGCCTGACTATGTTTAACCCTCTCTTGAGGCTGCATGATGGCTTCCTGCAGGCAGTGATGCTGACCCCAGTGCTTTGTTCTCCCTTGCACTTTCCAGATGATCAGCTAAAAATAGCTTTTTATTTGGGGGCTCAAAACTGCAATTCAATGAAGCAAAAAGGGATTTTTTTTTTAATTTTTTTTTTTTAGATCTTCCCGAGCTGCTGTGCCCTTTCTTCTTGTGTCACTCTGGAGCCATGTGGAGGCTTTTTCATTATGGAAATCAATTCATTTTTTTGTGTTAATTCAGTGAACTGTAACTAGGCTGTGCATACAATGGCAGACACCCTGGAGTTAGAAAAGAGATTGTAGGCAGAAGTGCTTTGTCTCCTGGGATCTCTGGTCTGCTGAGAGCCTGTTCAGCAGGAATTCAACTTTACTCCAGCCCTCCCTGCCCCTCTCCTCCCATCCCCCTGTGTAGTTCAGTGCACGGGGTAGGATTCTCCTGTACATTGTTATTTTAGGATTTAATAGCAAGACAAAAAAAGTGTTTCTCTCCCATTTGCTTTTCAAGCTCTGAGAAGGTCAAGTTGGCAGACTGTAGGTGGGCTTATTCTATCTCCTGTGCTTTTCACAGCCGAGGAAGATTTTTTTTCTGTCAAGGATCCTATGTGGCAGTTGCGAAAGCTGGTATGTTTGTCCTGGGTGTACCTAAGATTGCTTCATATTATTGAAGATTGCTGGTATCTCTGTGTTTTCTGTTATGATCTGGCCTTGTGCTGTGACACTTTAGGGACAGCCAGGAAGACTTCAGTGTGGGCTTAAAGAGACCTGAAGGGCAAGAGTGAAACAAGGGAGCAGTTACAGAGCTTGGACCTGTCAGGAAACACTCTGCTGGGTTACCAAGCCCAGCTGGCAGCTACAGGTTTTGGCTCTGTTATCTCTCTTCCTTAGAGAGGAAGCCCTCTGCTTTTGGAGATGTGGTTCCCAGACAACCAGCATCTCACTCAATGGCTCAGCTTCCATGGCATTGCAGCATGGTTGAAGGTATCTGCCTAAGATGTTTCCGGGTAAAACATTTGACCTTCTTACTACTATTCTGCCTCTGTTCCTTTCTCCACTTGGGCTTTCACATTTTGGCTTTATCCTTGAACTGGGGGACCCAACTTTTGTCTTGACAGAGCCTGAGCACCACAGCTATGTGAGCTGGAGTGCTCTGCTAATTCTGAAGCTGTCAGATGTGAAGCTGGCCCAGAAGGATACACAGGGATCAAGAGATTGCTTGTTGCTGAAAAAGTAAGGAGGAAGAGGTGGTGACATTGGCTGTGGTGCCACCTATCAGCACAACCCCTCACTGTTTAAGAGAGGACTGGCTGGATCAGCAGAAGGCACCTGGAAAGCCTGGTCTCCTCAGAGCATGATGCAGGGACAGCAGTTACTTCTGAACCAGTGTGAGGTAGGGGGAAGAGCCAGCCAGGCCTGCTCCTGCCTGGAAGACTTGGAGGGTTGTGGAGCTCCCTTTCCCCTCTGTCTTGTGTCTTTGTCCTTCTGTAACAGGGATGACTTGGTGACAATGATCTTTAGCTTGCTACTTCTCTTGGGTTCCTTGGCTTCCCTCTCTGCCTTGTATACCTAGCACGTACTTTCTGGCTTCCTACTTTGTCCATCCTCTGCCTATTCAGCATGCTTGCGTGATTCCTTCCTCTCTCCCACATGTCCTGGGCACTCAGGGCAGCTTTTACAGATTACCTTTGTCCAGCTGTGAAGTTATCTGTGCTCATTACAAAATATTCTGCTTCGTTTTCTCTGGAGAAGATGAGGTGACTCTTGGTTCCTGTCATCTTTTTGCTCTAAGACCAGAAGTTCAGACAGGTGAATGAGGACTGTTAGTTGAGCAGCTAGAAGAGATGTGTTTCTCTTCACTGTTACGTTCATGTGTCTGCCATGAGTGTCCTGCCATATCCCAGTTGTTCTGAATGCCTTACATTTGGGAGGTGGTGGAGAGCTGAAGAAGCAAGCTGCAGAGAAAGGCAGGAGCCTCTTTGAAAGCCACAGATGCAGTTAGTGGTTGAGGCTAAAACTGTAGTAAGGATTACCTCTCCCAGCTTGGCCTGGAGAGACTTTTTTTCTCAGGGTTTGTGTTCAGCTTTGTCGTCAAAGAGGATGACTGCCTTCTCCTCATGTTCCTTATTCCTAAGGCAGGTTTCTGGTTGCCCCGTCCATTCAAAGCAGCCTGCAGAAGGTTGGGAGTATGGGGAGATGTGTAAGCACGCAGGCCTTGGGTGCAGTGTGGGGAAAGGCTGCCTGTATTGTGGGGCTCTAACAAAGACAGTCAGGGCAGCTTGGACAGTAGGCAGAGAAGGGACATTTTGAATTTGCTGAATTATTTGGAGTACCTATGAAAAATACCCCTTGCATACTGAATTTTTACACTGCGCTTCATTCTACAGGTCGGGTCTCTTCCAATTAAAATCTAGTCTGAGGAAGAGCTTGGAATTGGGTTAGAATTCAGAAGATGTCAGCTTGGAGCTCAACAGTGGTCAAAAAAGCAAATGGGCTGTTGGGAAGTAGGAGAAGAGAATGACCTGGGGAGCATTGCTTGCTCCATAAATAAATCCATGGTACATGCAGCTATTTTGCTGTGTGGGGTCCTGGTCCTCTCGTCTCAGAAAAGATGTAGCAGACCCGCAAATATTCAGACGAGGGCAGCAAGGCTGCTTGGAGGCCTGGGATACCTGCGTAGTTGTTCCTAAAGCAAAAAGTCCTGGGCTTTTTGGGAAGGCAGCAAGGCAGGGTGTGATGGAAGCCTGGTAGCTGCATGATGAGGCAGGTGGGTGCGGCTCTCTGCTGTCTCTTCCACTACAAACCTGGAAGAAGCAATGACAACAGCAGATGGTAGACATGCACCCGAACAAGAAAGACATTTTGCATCTCATGTGGCAAATTCAGCTCTGGGCTCTGTGTCTGTACTGCACGTGATGTTACCATCACTGGACACTTCTGTGGGTTCAGAAAGGGGCTGCATTGATTGATGGAGTGGGCTGTTGGGTTTTTTTAATGCAAGGATTTGTCTGGTTTAGGATGTGCAGGTGAAGTGTGCTGTTTCTGCTCTTGCTGGGTCTTACTTAGGTGGAAAAAGGGAGGGATATTGATTGAGGCCTGGAAATGCCTTGTTGTGTTGTAGCAGGCAGTGGTCCTAAATCCAAGGAGGTTCCTGTGTGCAGCACAGAGAGGCAGGCAGGGGGCTGTGTGGTGGCTCAGGCCACCGGGACGTGCAGGGAGGGGACGTGGACTGCTACCAAGGCAGGGTGGGACAGCTGGGGCAAGAGGAGGGCCTGAGTGATGTGCTAGGGACTAGCTAAACAACAGCAGAGCATGATTACTTCCATGTGATGCAAAACTTAATCTGGAAGACCTACTTTGATACCTTGGAGCCAGAGGGATGCAGTCCTGTAGGAAAGCAAGCCACCGTCGTGCTGGGGCTTCAGTGCTATTTTCTCTAGCCACCAATGAGAGAGGAGACCTCTCTCTACCTTTTTTCCCCTTAGTTTTTCTCAATTCATTAAGTGACCAGATTTTGCTCACCTTTTGCTTGTGGTTATTCTGAGGGATCAGGGAGGAGCATGATATGTAAGTTGGAAAGTTCATCTATATCAGGGTTAGTATCTTAGTTAATGTCAGTGATTGTGTGTTCTGGGGCTGAAAGGAGATAGAAGGAGGCCTCTTGTTTTGGGAGGATAAACTGGTGGTTCTGGTTCTTGCCCACCGAAGGTCCCATAT